GGGATAGGATCTCTTAGTTCTTCTCCTAGATCTCTATCTTCCTCCTTACTACTGTCTCCTTCGTGCGAGTCTTCTTGCTAGGGATAGGTATCTTTATCTTAGTTCCTATCCTTAAAGTATAGTTTAACTAATGTCGTACGAAACTTTATTAGTCTACTAGGGAGATCTAGGATTATATTATTTCCTTTAATTACCTTAATTTCGAATAGTCCCTTCTATCCTTTCTTTTCTCTCTATACTATAACCTTAGATCTAAGTAGAAGAGAGAGAACTCTATATTAGATAGGTCTATTTCTTATATTAATCGTACGGCTAATTTCTACTTTCGTACGGATAGATCGTAAAGCTTTTATTACTTTCTTGATAGCAATCCCTCGTGCGATAATATTAGGAGATAGTAGAGAATCTTAGTTAATCCTAGGATATATACTAAAGACTAGGAGTATAGGAATAATTCTATTTAGCCTAGCTATATTATTTAGGGCCTTAATTACTATCTATAACCTAGTTTCTTTATCCGTACGATCACTAATCTTATTTAAAATCATATTATATACTCTTCTTAGTAGTCTATATTACCTTTTAATCTTTCCTATAGTATAGTAAGCTTCTACTAGCATCTCTTCGTACGAACTACTAATAACCTTAGTAGAACTTCGGAATTCTTTAGAAGTAAAGTTGGTCCCTGGATTATAGATAATGAAATCTAGTAGTCCTTAGTACGTATAGATCTAATACCTGTAGAGGGCGTCCTATGTATCTCGTGCGGATATAGATTTTAGGAAAGTTGCCGCTTAGAAAGATATTACTATATTAATAATATAGAGTACCGCACGACTATCTAGGTCTATTATATCAATAATAATTTCATAATTAAAGTAGCAATTATCCTTAATTAAAAATTTGAATCTCCTTAGACTTAGGTCGTACGACTAGCATTAATAGTAGAACTTCTAGATCTCCTTTAAAACGGACTCCGGGACATCATTATAACCTACTTACTAAAGAAGCTTATAAAGCCTTTCCGTACGAGGATATCTAAACCGCTTATAGATCCTTCTTAGCTTAGGTTCTGTAAGAAATACCCTTTCCTTTAGTAAGATATTAAAGAAAGTATATCCCTATTTCCGTACGATTAGATATCTTTATCCTATCTCGTGTCGTACGACAATATTCTTAATATTATTAAAGAAGTATTTTAACCTATCTACATCTTCTAAGCTGAATAAGAATAGGGTATCTCTCTCTAGGATATAGTAGGTGATTCGCCCGAGAGGATTCTCTATTTCTATTATCCTAATTATACTAGTTGCCTTACTATCTCTAAAGGCAATATTTACTAATCCTAGTATCTAATTAACTTTCGTATAAGGGAATTCTCGTAGATATACTTCTACCTACTTCCTTCTAACTATTAATACTCGTACGGTACTAGTATCCTAAAGCTTACCTTAGTACTAGGTTATATAGTAGCTTTATAGGGTAAATTATTAAGCTGTTATCTCTAGTTCTTCTTAGCTATAGATATCTTCTCCCGTCGTACGGTGAAGAAAAGCGATATCTATAAGGAATTGAACAATCTAATTCCTATCCTCTATTTCTAAATTCTATTCTCCGTACGCTATAAATTACTCTTCTATTCCTTCGTACGAAATAAGATACTAAGTAAGTTTAGATTCTATTAGAATTTCTATCTTAGCTTCTTCTACTAACTAGAAGAATTGCTGCTTAGTCCGGTCCTTCTCCTCCTAGGTATATTTCTAGCTTCTATAATCTAACTTTCTATATACCTAGTATATATTATCTTTTAAGGATCGTGCGAAAGGCCTAGGAGAGAATAGCTTCCTTCTTTTCTACTATAGTTATTAGCCTTATTTTAACGGCTATTTCTTCCCTCTGTACGAGGGGCTAGAATTCCTAAATCTACTTTTCCTATTCTTAATAAACTTCCTTTTATTAAAGAATATATAGGGATCCTCCCTCTGGTTCTCTTCTACTAGATATAATCTAGATCCCTTCCTATCTTGGTAGATCTAGATTACTACTTTTAATTCTGTAAAAAGTTCTTCGTACAAATAAGAGACTCTTAGAAAAGCTAGTTCTAGTTCCTCGACTCCCTTATAGGCTACTATAACTACTATACGGAGGTGAATATCTCTAGTATATCCTAGACCTAGCGCTCTCTATGTCTTTTAGAGCTTATTAATTAAGAGTTCTAGGATATCTAGGAGTAATTTCTTAGTATTTTCTACCTTCGTACGAGACTAGGTTACTATAGTCTAGTCTGTATAGTATTTCGCAAAATTCTATACTATATTAAATTTCTAGTCTATAGCGGTATAAATTTCGCTCTATAGTACTTCTCTATTAATATAGTTAACATAAAATTCTTCCGTACGACTAGAAAGAATATTAGGAAATATAGTATAGTAATATAGTTTAAAAATTAAGAATCTCTTATAGGTTACTATAAAAATCTTAACCTTCTCCTAGAAGATATCGTACGGCTCTCTAGTAAAGTTCCTTTCCTTCTTCTATACCTTGGAAAATATTGTAATAGTTCTAACATTATAGGGCTTATTAGGAACTCCTATTAGCTCGTACGAAACCGTTGTTATAGGGAGTAGATTTCTTGTAATAATTAATTAATCCTTTAAGTTTAATCCGTACGGGGCGCTATTTAGTTTCTATATTAGTTAGGGATTGTACCCTTACTAAATATAGTTACCATATTACCTCTAGTTATATAGAGGTGGGTTCTATATCTAGGGTTAGTATATATAGTATCCCTAGTTATTCTAGGGTTGATAGGGTGGTTACTAGATTAGCTAGTTCCGTACGGGACGAGTCTACTACCTCTCCTCTCTCTAGGGTTAGTATAGGTGGTACCCGGTATCTTAGGAATAGTAGGTTTTATAGTAAGGTGGGTATTATACTCGAGCTTAGGTCTCTCCCCGTAGTTAAGTAGCTTGTTAGTTCCGTACGAAAGTTCCTTAAAGCTATTAGTATAGTTCTCTAGGAGGATATCTCTTATATCCTTACTATTCCTATATCGTACGATAATATTTCTAGTTCTTATCCTAAGGAGGAGCTTGTTATTAGAGTTCTATACTCTCTTCTAGCCTACTAAGGGCCTCCAGCCGTCGATTTACTAGGGATAGTTATAGAATAGGTTAGAGAGGTTAGATAGGCTGTTATACGATAACCTATAGTTAAGACGTACTTAGACTTTAGTAAGTAGTCCCTAGTTGAGCGCTATATAGACGTCTCTCTTTCTATTTATCGTACGGGGCTTACCTTGCTAGTATTACTAAAGCTATCCTAATTAGAACCGTACGAGGTAATTATCCTACGCTTAGAATACTTCTTATACTTAAGCTTAGTTCTACTTTAGAACTTACAACGCTGCTTATCCTGGTTAAGGATACTGGATTATAAAGAAGGTATACTATCCTTCTTATAGCTATTTCGTTACTCTCTCGTACGAGGGTATATCCATCTTCGTACGCTTAGAATACTTTTAGAAGAAGGTTAGCTAGAATCTTCTCAAAATACTCTTCCTTCTAGCCTCTAAAGGCTTCCTTAAATACATTAATAAGTATCCTTCCTGTATATCCGCTGCTCTTGATTTCGTATAGTTATCGTACGAAATATATTCTAATCTAGATTAGTTCGGAATGCACGAAAGGATTAAGAGGATTAAACCATATCTTCCTATCGATATACCTACTAATATACTAGTATATAACACCTAGCTATACCGTAATCTCTCTAGCTTTTAGTAGATCGTACGTATATATATTTTATTCCTCTTAAGAGAAAACCTCTAGCGGTAAAGATTATAGTTATCGTGCGGATTAATAGTTAAGGTTTTAAGGGGGAAGCTCCGGATCTCGATCCCTTTATCCTCCTCCTTAATTCGTCGAGTCCGGCTAAGGTAGCGGATATAGCGTCGACCTTCTAGATAGATATTCTATCGTATAGAAGTCTAATTCTTATAGATACTCTTAGAATAGTATATAGCCTATCGTACGAAGCTTCTAGGGAAGCTATGTACGGTAGACTAAGTTTAGATCTTGTTAATCTACGGTCGCCTTATAACTACTAATTAGTATTAATTATACTTATTAATCGATTAAAATAAAGGAGTATAAAATAATAATAGATATTCTAAGGGTAATGCATTGTATTGTTATTCGATGAAGTATCTACAGTCCCCCTTTCGTACGAGGAAGTAGAGATTTCACATCCCTGCCATAGCCCATAATTCCTCATGAATCCACAGCAGCAATTCTGATTTATAGGGCTCGAAAGTCAGGACGCCCTGTTCACCGCGACCGATGCGGTATGAGAATTTAGAGGGTTTGGAGTTGGCGGTTAGTTTGGTCATGATGTGGAGGGGTTTGGTGTGCGTGGAGTATGCATGGCGTGGGTTTGGTGGGAGGGAGGGGAGTTTGGGTTTGATGTTTGGAGGGTGAGACGGGAACAGTGGTGTTGTGACAGCTTTTCTCGCCACTGCGCTTGTCAGAATAGTGTAATTGCTGGCAAGACTCTGGGGTTAATTTAGTTGAGGTGGAAGGAGACTACTGTATGAAGGGACCTCTGGGGAACTTCTACTCGGAATGTGAACAAAGTAAGAGATGGAGAAATCGTGACGCGGAGAGTGTAGCTCACGCCATGACGTCGTTGATGGCTTTGCGCGGAGAAAAGGGGTCGATTGGATTTATTGAATCGTTAATCGTTTTCGCTGTTGCGCTCCAGGCAACTTTGGATCCGGAATTCTCCAAACCTCGAACATGGGACTGGAAAGTGCCTTCAACTATGATCTCTCAAGCCTAGCTTTCTCCTTCTTGTTAACGGAAGATCAGGCATTTGGTTAGTGTACCCCACCAAAAATTTATGGTCTTGCATTGACGAGAAGGAGTGATTGAGTGCACGATTGTGGCGGCCAGATATTGCAGGGTGATTATTCATGTTTTTGGCCTTCCACTCTACACTAAGGTTGTATAGTGTAGTGGTGAGCACATCGGTTTTTGAGACGAGTTATCAACTCCGAAATACCGATAACCCAGGTTCGATCCCTGGTACGACCTTTTTGCTGCGGTCGTTGATTGTAGTAGTGACTCCAAAGTTTTTATCGCAGTGGGATGAATTTCACCTGTGCTTGCATGGGTGTGGCGGCGTCTGCAGACTTTCTGTCGTTTTCTGCGCCCTCCAATCCATCGTGTACAACCGCGTCCGATAAGCTTTTGATTTGACTGCTGTCTTCCCACGGAAATTCGGAACATTTGTGTTATAGACGAAACAGCGAAAGATCTTGACATCACTTAACGAAAAGTCCAGATCAGATTTGACCGGACTGCCCAAGAACTAGGAGACAGACACGACGTTTTGGATCATTGACACCATCTATAATTATATACAGGGACTGACGAGGATCCAACGAACTACGTCGGAGCTATCGAATGCTTGGTAGAATGAAAGCCAGCAGAGCTCAAATTAGTAGAGTTGGTGTGCAGATTCCCTGTCAAGGTTTGAACTACCATGTGTGATGTGCGATACCTCATAGTAACAACTTTGGACAGACGGAATCAACAGTGACTCTGCTCGGGAGTTCATGAATTCATGTAAGGCGTGGATAGTTGGCCAAGAATACCAGAGCTATGAGTATACTTGCTACAAGCCACAAACCCCTAGGAAAGCAAAAAGTGAAGGGAAGTGACTTCTTCATCCTTACTTCTCGGAGCTTGAGACATCTTTCTCGTCGCCCGTGGAATGCATCTGACAAAGTCATGAGCATCATCGATATGAACATGGAGGGAGGCAAGATGACTTACAGCTTCGGCGAAAGAGACCCACTCTCCCAACCCTTTCGAGTATGCGTCGTCCGATGCTGGCATCGCTTCGTGACACCATACCACGACTTCGTCAAACCTGGCTAGTTGCTCGACCTCCCTCGTTTCGACCGATTCGTCTTCGTCTTCCTCCTCCTCCTCGGGATCTTGCCCGTTGTGAAGAACCTTGTCGGTAGTTTTCAAGACAGCGCCTAACAAACATTCAACACTGGTCATCCTATGCGGGGAGCAAGCTACCTCTATATCCTTTTGGCAGTCTGGTTGATTTGCCTTCCAATTTCCTTCCCCGAAAGTATGCTGACATTGAGCCATCTGAGATTGTTAGAGATGTCGACCTCGCGGTTCGGGGTCACTGGTTGGTTACCTTCTGCTCTCTCCGGCTTCCAATATCTCTCAGAGGCATTCACAGGTCCATCATGATTGATCTTGCATGGTAGCAGATTTGGCGTGCATTGCTGAGCTTCGATTTTTGATTTCTGGATGGCAAGCATTTTGTTCGTGGTTTTGTGATTGCTGCTGAATTGGAATTCAGTTCGACGCGTAGCGACGCGTCGACACGGGCCACTGCTAGATTGGGAGTAGCGTTTTTGATACTTCATCTCCTTATAGGTACTCGGTCTCAACTCTCGAGCATCAGCCACCAACATCAAACTCAAATATTCATCATATCATCATCGACTCCTGCTTTGTATCCACTGTGTTCTTCGAGAACTCTTTCGCTCTTCAGTCCAGACTCTGTGCCGCTTGATATTCGGCAACATCGACGGATTCGGAAGCAACCTCACAAACGGTGCAATGTGAGACTGGAAGCACTGCTAAGAACAGCAGTAGTCCCCCCTCCTCGCTACGAGCCTAATGAAGGACAAAGGTCACGGCACTCTTCACGTCGGACCTCGGAGGTAACACAGCAGGCTGCCTCCTACAAGTAAACCATGAAACCATCCCTGCTTTCGCTAAGACAGCAGGGAGACGAAGTGGTTAGCACGACATGAATTGAGGAATTGCTACCACCAACCTTCTTTTGGAAGCAAACGTGCTTTAGATTTCAGTGGTGCGCGAGGGAGTGACGGTATGTTGCGCCGAGCCAATAAGACACTATGCAGCCTTTTCTTCTACTCGGAAGGCCAATATCAGCGACTCGATCTGAGTCGCGAGCCATGTCTATTCGGTGCTCCACCTCAATCGCCCTTAAGGATGGTCCCCTTGCCTCAGCTATTATGTTCTGGGCGCTTGGACGCGTCAACAGATATCCAAACACTTACACTCAGCTATGCAGCAGCGTATTCCAGGTTGAGAAGCTAGTGCCACGACAATGTACCGCTCGGAGCCATTGAAATTATTTATAAGATCTCCGCATGGTAACTCCCATTCTTCTAGGAATTGAACCTCCACAACTCAGCGTGTGCACCGAGCTGTTTGTAGCTTGAATAAATTCGCTATTCATCCATGATTGCGGTGTCATAATCGCATTCTTCAATGAGACCATCGCATGACATCGATCTGATCTATTCCTGAGATGCCTTCGACTTTTGTAGTTCGCGGCCTGGCGCAAAGCGACTCTCTTCAAGCGTTTGAATCCAGGAAATTATGTTCAACCTGCCAGGGCATCATGCAAAATCTTACCGACAGGTATGACAGTCCAGGAGCACGCGGTCCACATCACAAGACCTTCGATACCTTTCAGAACGCCATACGAGACGGATGCTACATCTGCAGTCGGGTGCAAGAATCAGCGCTGGGCACCGATATCGAAGATTGGGTTGTGCACGGCTCTGCGATCACTAATGAACAAGGTTCATTCACCAGCTTTCGCTTTTGTCTTTTTGGTCGCCACATGGTCGATCCAGATCAGCTTGATATGACCATTGCGTTTCGTATCGGTGACAGTTGGTACGGTCCATCTTTTCTGATTTACAGGCATCGAGGTCAGTCTATTGAGCACAAAATTTTCTCCAGCAGGACTGAAGGTATTTCTAGACTATCCATCCCCCCTTCTCTTGCCCACCACTTCCTCTTCTCAAACTCTATCTCAAATTTCTGCATGGCACACAGACTGTAAACAGAGACATCCGTGTGGCAGAGCTCCTAATACTTGCTGGGTGCCCAGCAGACTTCTCGACGTTGGTGGAGAATCGAGCTTCAGACTCTGCTTGCCGGAATCTGAGCAGATTCTCGTTTCTGAATATACCACGTTGAGCTATCGCTGGGGAAGTGATGGATCAAGCTTGAAGCTGACCGAGTCAAACCTAGAAAGCCTTCGTTCCGGCTGGCCTATATCGACATTGCCTCAAACTTTCCAGGATGCTATAGTCGTGACGAAAGAACTCGGCATAAGATTCCTGTGGATTGATGCCTTGTGTATTCGTCAAGATGGTATCGAGGACTTCCATCAAGAGTGTGCACAGATGTCAGAGATATATGCAAGGTCTAGTTGCAACATCGTGGCAACTTTTGGACAAAATCCGCGTGAGGCTCTCTTCCAAACCCGATGCCCCGCAAAAGTGAGAATCGGAAGAGCAAGTGGAGATCGGTACACCCAACACGATGGATGTTGGTGGAGTGAACACGACGCAATTGTGCCAACTAATTACACGCGAGATGAGCTGCATGGCTCAGAAATTTATTCCCGAGGGTGGATCATGCAGGAGCTTTTGTTGGCTCCAAGAACACTTCTGTTCGGGAAAAATCAAGTTCACTGGAAGTGTGCTGAACTGGAGGCATGTGAGATGTGGCCCAGTGGAGTACCTCAACTCCGAATATTCTCAACACTGATGGATGCCGGCTTCTCAACGATGAACTTCACCGATGGCCAAGGCTTCGATAAATGGGCTCATATCGTGGAACGGTATACTAGACTAGATCTCTCAAAAGTAAGCGACAGACTCGTGGCTATCTCTGGCGTTGCAAAGGCCATCAAGAATCAGACCCAAGACGAGTACTTTGCAGGCCATTGGAAGTCTTCATTCTTGCATTCTTTATTATGGGCCGCCTGGCAAGACCCACGAGGCGGTTCAAAGGTGCCCGGCGTACGCAGCTTCCCAACATATTTCCGTCGACCCTCATCCTACATAGCTCCAAGTTGGTCTTGGGCCTCGGTCTTAGGACCAATTATTTTCATCCAGCACCTGCTACCTGATTGTAAACCAACAGCGAGTGAAGAGGACCCGCTCTTTCCAGGATACCACGACATGTTATGCAGCATTGAGTCCGTGTCCATTGAGTCGATCGGGAACGATGCAGACAACATCCTTGGAATCATCGCCGGTGGTCAACTGACTCTACGATCGCCGCTGATATCAAAAGACACCTTCGAAAAATTGTTGGACACCCTACCCGGCTTTCCTCACGTAATATACGTTGGCTCCGAAGACATCACCAAAGCGAAAGCCATCCTGTCACAAGTCCAATGGTACTGGGACACTGACTCAGATCAACGGCCATCGAACGCCTTCCTCGCACCGATCTTGATAGTCCGTCGCCACGACTATGGGACCAACGGCGAAACCTGGCATTTCTCTCTATCCGCTCTGATCCTCGTGCCCACCGATGCCGAAGGAACGACGTACACCCGCGAAGGACTTTTCACCATGAATTTCACCGATGCACAAATCGACAAGTGCAAACTCGCGTTGGACGGAGCTGGGCTTGAATTCTGGGGCGACGGCGGTCGCGCCGTCAGGGCCAAGGAATCGAGTTTGGAAAGGCTCGTCATTGTATGAGCAGCGCTCGGATATATATATCGGTTGCAGCGAGTGGATAAGAAAAAGAAAAAAAACGCTGAAGTTGATCATTTCTTTCTTGGATTCTTTTCAAAACTACAAGTCCTCCGCGTTGTACAGATAAGATGAACCTACGTTATATCGCATGGCGGGAAGAAAGTCGCGATACATTGGAGAATCCCACGCTCGCCACACTCGATCATCATGCATAACGAGGTATTAGATGCAGATGTCGCTGAACCGAAATTGGCGGTCCGGCGAAAGCATCAACGATACCACGAAGAAAAATTTGTGCTCGGAAAAACCCATTGAAGATAGGCCCTTTTGTGAGGAACTGTAAAGGGGTGAGGCAGGAGAAAAATCCCAGCCCCGTTTCATGGGGTGTACGGCGGATTTTAATTTAGAAACCGAGGTAATAGCGAGGAAGTAAAAACGGATGAACCCCGAAGGAAACATCATCAGGCTATACATAAAATCGCAAACGTGCGTGGATATGGTGGTCAGGTCAGATCAGCTTAG